CGCAAAGGATGATCACGTGACCCCAGAACATTGCAACCATCATAACTACATGCTAGCTGCCAAGTGTCTGAATTTTGATCACATGACTATAAGAATGCTGCAACGGTCATAATTTTGAAAAACAGTCATAAGTCACTTTTTTCAGTGCCGTTGTAAGTTCAAATGGTCATTAAATGAACTGTTGTAAGTCAAAGAATACCTGTACTTCCTTGCAAATAATTACTTGCATATATGAAGGAGCCATCACATACTAAGTACCTTCATTTTTTGGATTTAATACTTTTCAAAATACTTGGAAAACTGACACATACATACCTTTTGACAAAATAATATTGCAGAATACTGCTAATAAAATAGAGATTATGTTTATCAAAGCTGGAATTTTCTTGTCTGTTACAACTTCAGAACTACAGTACTCCTGTAACAGAACATTAGCTTCTCTTGTCAAATACATTAGCAATAGCACTTTCAGGGATCATTGTAAAACTACTTACTTGCAACATTTTCTACAACCTCCCACCCCCAAAAGAAAAAAATTCTAGTGATTCATCATGCTAATACTAGTCTGGTAGGTTTAAGACCATATCTATTTTTGGTGTTGGAAAAATGCAACGAAAACGAGTTGCTGCCTGCAAATTCCAGTGTATGAAGATGAGAGTACTTCTATCTATAATCTGTCAAATTCATTGAAAGTTCAGATCAGTGATGTCAGGGCAAGTCTTCCCTAAAGGTCAGTCAGTTCACTGATCTTTCCTATGCAATATGTAGATATAGTACAGGCAAATAATAGATTATTTTCCAACTCTGTGCAAAGCAAATGCAAGACAGAGACCTGGACAATATTAAGTGTGAACAGCATCTGAGATCTTAAGAATATATTGTGCTCATCTGATAAAGGGTTGCTCAAGGATATAAAATGAGGGGAAAACAAAAATGAAATATCAGTGCTAGTGGTAGTGGTCTGTGCCTCTGTCCTGTAAGTTGTTCATTATTCTATTTGTAAATCTTCACGATCCATTATTTACCCATAACTCCTATTATTGCAGTGGAAGAAATACATAACAAAAAGCTATAACTTCAAGAATAAAGAATGCAAAGTGAGAAATTGCAAGCTACATCGAGGCCTTGATCCTGTTTAAGTAGTCCAGTGGTGGTTGATTAATTGCCTGTACAGTTTCAATATTATAAAGCATCTCTGCAACTCATGCACAAGAGCTGTTCGTGTGCTGTATATTTATAAAAATTCTGCACCGAAAAAACAATCCAGATTAGTCTAAACCATATGGTTGAAACAAAGTTGGCATATTTTACTTTTCATCAGTTTCAATTGTATGGTTTCTATTTTGCTAGTCAGAAGAGCAAAGGACAAGGCATTAGTTCCCCTTGCTAATTAGTCAAAATTTTCTTCAAGAACTCTTGTCTCTCTTGAAATGTTGTCAAGCTATGGCCATCTCTCATATATCTAAAATCATTATTTTAAAAATCATCAAAAGAGGAGAAAGACACAGTGGGGGTGGATAGACTTACATAGAGCAGTTCTTTCTGTATTCACTTCAAATTATCTTGCCTGTACAAATGCAGGCTGCTTTTATTTATTTAGAATTCACAAATTCCATCAATTTTGACAGTTTCCAATTTATACAGGTAGACCTCAACTTATGACCAAAATTGAGCCCAAGTTTCCTTAGCTAAGCAAGACAGTTGTTATGTGAATTTTGCCCCATTGTACGCCCTTTCTTACCACAAAGGTTAAATGAATCACTGCAACTGCATTAAATGAATCTGCTTTCCCATTGACTTTGCTTGTCAGAAAATCACAAAAAGTGATCACATACGCCCAGGACATTGTAACTGTCATAAATACATGCTAATTGCCAACTATCCAAACTTTGAATACATGGGCACAGGGATACTGCAATAGTTGAAAATGTGAAGTCACTTTTTCAGGGCCACTGTAACTTCAAACTCATTAAATGAATGGTTCTAACTTGAGGACTATCTTTACAGAACAATCATGTATGTATTTGGACAGAAACCACACATTGAGTTTAATAGAATTCTAGGCTTTGATCTGCAGGTTTGTGAATACTTGCTTGCAATTAGCATTTTAGTAGCAGTTAATACATTACAAACTAATTCACAATATTTAAATGTCTCTATTGAAATACCGAAACAGAACATTCAGAAAATTGAAATGCAGGTTAATCTAGCTATTTGAATATATGGTACTTCTTTTTGTGGTTGCATATATTCAAATAGCTAGGTCAGGAATTTGCTTTTTTAATTATGGAAAAACAGTTTCAAGAAGCCTCAAATCTGCATTCATGATTTTAATTCCAGGGAAAGACTTTCCTGTACCTTTCACATCTTATTACTCAACAATGATACTCAGTTGCTGGTACCACAACAACTTACTGTTGCTGCTTCAGTATTGGGTCATTGTGCCTATTAGTATATATTTCATAAGCACTTTTAATTCAAATTTCCTGCTATCAAATTTGTGCTTCCTTTTTATAGGCTTCCTTGATTTGGTGTAAAGAAAGCTATATGCTCTATATTTTGGTATGATGTACTGTTCTGAATGGTCTTTCTTTAAACAATATTTCATTTTTAAGGCTCAGATTTCCATGATATACACCACATGCTCGTGCACACACATTTGTATATATGGATATCTCTATGTAGATATAAAAACATACAAATGTAAATGTAAATAGCAGAATGTCATTTGTCCTTTGCTATTTTATATAGAATTATTTTTACAGGAAATTGGCAATATAGGGAGTTATGTATTTCCAATAGAAGAGAATATACCGGTAGCTTGGGGTTGAACTGTGGAGGCCTTGGTGCTCTGAGTTTGCTTGCAAACATTTCATTACCCAACTGGGTAGCAACAGTGCATATCATCAAAGCATTGGTGATGTTACTTATCAGGTAATGAAATGCCTGCAAGAAAACAACCAAGCTCAGAGAGCATCAATGATAATGAACACCATAGTAATGAAGTCAGCACTTCAACTTTCCATGCACTTAGCTGACATCAACAAATTATTGTCATTTATAAATTTGAACTGCAAAACTAATATAGCTGTAATGAAACCATAGAGCACACTAACAATATGAGAAATCAAATAACAAAAGATTAACCAGTATTCCTCTTTTTAAATATGCATTACAACATTAATTACACATAGACTTCTTTCTTCTCCTATTTGGTAGAATGTCTATCCAACTCCCTCTAAGAAGATTGCTTCTGTGTTTCTTGTCTTTGCTGCATAGGTGTATGCGATTGTTTCTTCTCACAAGTCTAGAAAAGTTCATTTCTCCATAATATAAACATGGAGGAAAATAGGACCTATTTGATGGTAGTGATAAAGACAGTGGTATGCATATTTGTGTTTCTGCTATGAGGTCATTTTTCCTGCGCTGTGCTATAGTGACAGAGTACACTCATAAACTTAATTGTACAGAGGGAAATCCACATTTCTATACAGAACAGGCCCCAATTTTAAAATAATAAACAGGCTCACCTCAACAATCTATCATATTTGGATGAAAAAACATGTTTATTTGCTCAGTTTCCATCTTGACAGCTATACCTAAAGCACATTGCTCCAAATCTTGTATGCTTCGTATTTTGGGAGCATCAGTTCAATAATTTCCAACTAGAATTGGATTGTTGTTATGAGAGATATAACCCATCATATCTGAAGGGCACTAGGCTAGGGAATGCTATCTCAAGTCCAAAGAACAATCCTCCCCATCACTCAAACAAACTGGTTCATCTCCAGTAATTCAAATATGAAGATAAGCACAATCCCTTAAAGACACATGAACAAATAAGGCATAATTTGCTCAGCAGAAATTGCTTTTAGGTTTAAAGAGCTTTGTAGAGAAGACTATATATACCACCTTTAAGAAGGCTAAACAGATTTATAGGTGGGCCTAATGATCATATGCCCCTTTGTTCCACTTACTGTTTTAAAGGCACAATTCTGTTAACAGTCCTAATAGACCTCACAAATGTGCTGATTTTGCCTCCAGAATTAAGTTTGCCTAAATAAACACTTATATCTGTTTCAGTTACTGGACCGGTTCACACATATATGTATTGCTTGAGAGTTATATACTTAGTGCTGCCAGTATACAAGGACTAACTTCACTAACAAGTATGAAAATGGTATTTCATACTCGTGCCAACTTATTTGCACATCTAAGTCAGGCAAATCTGGGACCTTCCAGTACCAAGTTCCATGTATGATTCAGCCAACCTATATGGCACCTTAAGCTTTCTATAGACATAGAATTTGTAGGGCTTTAGTTCAGAATGCTTTGCTATTAGAATTCAAACACTTGTTGCTGATGTTTGATTGCAAACTGTGATGATGTATAAATCTGAATGTAGAAGTTTTAAAACAGTTCTGATCTATGCAGTAGAAAATAATTTACAGTATCACAGCTCTATAAAACTCTTAGTATTTGTGTTTCTGATTTTTTAATAATACAAGACAATGACATTATTTCAGTAATAGACTCTGCAGTCATTAAGGTTTCCTTGTATTGTTCTTGTGCTCACAATTGGCTAACAAATGTCCAGCTGACTGGGAGGTGGAGCCTTGGAGCAAAGGATGGAGCATGCTAGCATAGAAAAAAAAAATGACCAGGCTTTTTTTTTTGAGCCAAATATAAAAATATTAATATGGTCCTTGGTTTTGACCCCTTACTCTGAGATTTCCCTTAGAGACCAGGGAAGGAGGCTCAGATCTTGAAATTTCTGACCAGACCCTGAAGGCTGAAAGAACACAGCTTGTGGAAGGCCTCCAAGTGAGTTTTTGGTGTACTTTGCCTGAAATTGGAACTAGGCTGAGCAAATGGGTGGGAGGGTGGCTGGTTCCTAAATCATGCTTTTAATTATTATGCTACGTGAGTTCTCTTGACTGCATCTATCTAAATTAAGCTGCTTTAATAACAACAACAAAAATTATTTTTCCCAACTACAGGTTAAATTCTGGATAATGGTTAAAAGAGGTCTACTTTCAGCCCAGGAAACAGCCCAGGAAGCATGCTCTTCAGGGAGAGGAGAACCAAAGTTTGTAAGTAGTTGCATTGTATAAGATGTTATCCCCAATATTTTGTTTTTTGATACTACCTACAATGATTATTGCATTACCCTGTTTCCCTGAAAATAAGACATCCCCTGATAATAAGCCCAATCGGGCTTTTGAGCGCGTGCCCTAAAATAAGCCCCCCCTGAAAATAAGCCCTCCCTGAAAATATTTAAACACATGCGCAGCTGGTCCCCCGCCATTTCTTCTGGTTTCCTCCACACACCCCAAAATAATAAGACCTCCCCGAAAATAAGGCCAAGTGCTTATTTCGGGGTTCAAAAAAATATAAGACAGGGTCTTATTTTCGGGAAAACACGATAGCTCCACATCAATGAGATTTTATTTTTCTGCCTTGGCACACTTTCTGGATTATTGATAGCATTCTGGTACAGAAATGTCCCCTAGTCAATAATCAATAATTCTAGATCAAGCCGTTGCAGCAAGCTATGCAGTGTGTAGGGAAGTTGCCAATTATGTTTAATCGTAAGTTCAGAACAAAGGCAATCAGTGGCAGTGTAGGGTGAAGTTTTACAGAAGTAAATATATATGATTAATATAATATTTTTATACCATATATAGTATCTACAGGGCCAGAAAATAAATCTAGAGATTCTGCCAGGTTTTTTTTAATAATGTTTTTTTGCATCAGCCACATATTGAACAAAATAGGAGTGCATCCCAGTCTTTTTCTGCAATTCCATGGTATCTCTCCTAAATTAACATATTTTGAACTGGGAGGTTCTTTGAAACTAGTGAAGGGTCATGATTAAGAAATGAAGCTGTGAACAAGACTCCTTGCTGAGATTTTGTTTCTGCCATAAACTTGTTGAATAACCCACAACAGTAATCATTCTTCATTTCTTATTATCTCATCTATAGTAAAACAAACACCTTTGTCAAGTCACAATTTTTATTTTTTTAATTATTTCAGTTGTGTACTGGTGGCTATGTCAGGGATTCCCCGTAATATACAATATACAATTGCAACATGCATCATCAATGCAGATGAAACATCCATAGTAAAAATTAAGTAACTTAGTGATATAAAATATGATCTTAATGGATCATTCATATAATATTGCACCCATCGCCTACAAACAAACAAACTTCCCCATAATAATATAGTTTCCCTGGTTTTGGCTTTGTGAATTGAACTGTTACGATTTCATCACACATATACCAGGATCCTATAGTTTGTTTAGCAATCTAACTTTAAAACAACCAAGCCTTAATAGATTTGATAAATCCTATCAATGATTTTAGGAAGATATATCACAGTATCGGTGGCAGGAAAAGCAATGTTTTACAAAAGGAAGAGCAAGAGTGCCTCAGCCCTGCCCCTGCATTTGGCCTTCCAGAGGGTGCAGAAATACCATGTTCCAATTCCCAATCTAAAGAATATTATTCAAAGCATATTAAAGTCCAGGGTGAAGAATGTGTTTAGGCAAATTGAGGCATGCAAAAATGTCATGCATTCCAAACATTTCTCAGTTGGCTTCAGTGTTTCCATTGGAACTAAATAGGTCTGCCTGATAGAAGAGGGTGTTTTGGAGGACTAGTGCTAAGTGTTGGAGCCATTTCTGCATTCTTCAGAAAAGAGAAGTGGTAAATAACCTGATGTCTTGTGGATATTTTGAACTGCAATCCTTAGAAACCTTTATCATGCTGGTTGGGGCTAATAGTCCACATTTGAACAACTCCATGTTGGTTAGTAAAGCTAGAGAGATGAAATTAAAGCAGGTATTTAAAGCTTTAGGACTTCTCTCAGTGCACTAATTGGTTTTTCCTTCCTTCCTTCCTTCCTTCCTTCCTTCCTTCCTTCCTTCCTTCCTTCCTTCCTTCCTTTTCCTTCCCTCCTTCCTTTGTCTTTATAAATTATTTATTGGACTTTTAAAAGGAAATACCTAAATAAGTACAAAAAACAATATGAAAAAAGAGTAAAAGAAAGTAATACAAATAAATAAACCAGGGATTTTAAAATATCATTAAGGTTATAACTTTCTACTATCCTATTGATTAGTTGTAAATAGATAAATATGTTTTAAATATTATATCACATCAAAGATTAGCAATCATTATTAAATTTAAGCTACAAAAGAATATCAAGAGCCACAATGAACACAATATAAATTATAAAATGGAATTATATATTGTAATGAATTCAGTCTATATTACTAAAACTTTATTTTGATTTAGCTATCTCATAAAATTGAAATATAGATATTATGCACAAGTCCAATCGTTTATATTGTGCCAATTTATGCATTAAATTATAATCTTAAGAATGGTTTTCAGTTTGAGCTGAAATCTCTTGTCAAATTTGCTTTTAAGGTGTGAATATATTCTAGCGATTGAAACTTATTTTCACAACTTAGCCATTTTGGAAGGGATCAGGTTATCTTTTCATACAAAACACATAGTAATGTAGTATCCTTGTAGCACTTATCACACATAAAGACAATTCAGTGTGCTTTATGAGAATATATATAGTTTGATAAAAATTTGATATAAGAATATAAAAAGTTGAAATGGGAATTCAGTTTTTAAATTTTGCTTCATTCTAGTATGAATTATTTTCCAGAATTGTTGAGCTTAATGTTGTTGTTATCATCAGTTCTGAATAACTGCTCGTTTCAGTTCCATCAACTTTTAAAATAATGAATTGTCCCTTTTAGTAATCAAACTGGGTGATACATCCACAATAACTCACTTTATATCAATTCTCTCTGAATACATTTTTGCGGTAAATTAACACTCTTCTTCCATTGAAATTCCAATTGTTGCATCTCTATTGCTGCATCCATTTAAACATAGTTTCGGTTTGTTCAGATCCTGAGTCAAACTCTATAAGTATGACTCAGTAAATGTTCTGAGTTACGTAATACAGATTTTTCAAATTTAATCAACTTTTTCAGTATTCCCCTCTACATTTTTTTAATACTCTGCTGCCTATTTGGAAGTATTAATATGGATCGGGTAAACTAGGTCATTGTGAATGAGTTTTGGATGATTTTAAACCTTGCAATGTGAACAAATTATTAGCTCTCTGCTGAACAATTGTTTTGGACCTTCATCTTAATAAAATTCATAGGTAATAATGATAGAAATGGGTAGACATTCTGGACTGATCTTTTTTCTGGTTTTTCTCCTCCAATACATTACTTATTATTGCATGATCTCTTACAGATTTTTTCAGTTTATGTCTAGCAGAGATATTCATGCAAACCATTTGAAAGTCCTGTCTCCACTATAGATGTAACTGAGTGATCAAGAGATACCAGTCTCTCTTAAAACTACCTTAACCTGCTAGTATTGTAATACAATTTAAAGTTTGGAGCCATTAATCCACCTCACTTTTGAGTCCTACAAAATTTTGAATTTAATTTATTGGCACATACTGTATGTAGTTCGGTATATCTGCCAATCATTCAATATCTTATTATCAATATGTACTGGAACTATCAGAAAAAGAAATTTAAGTGTTGGTAAAATATTCATTTTGATGACTATAGTTCTACTTAGCGTATGAAATCTATTTTTTCCCATCTGGAGATACGTGTTGTATTTTTTCTAATGCTGTAGATAGTTATTTTTATACAAATCCTAATTTTTGGTCATACAAAGTCCTAAGTATTTAATCTTTTTAACAGCAACGTTAAACCTCACGTCTTCCTCTGCTAAATTTCATGTCAGCATTTGAGGTTTTTTTCTTTATTAGACCTATAAGCTGACATAAATCCACGTTGCTGTATACATTTCATTAAGAGGCCTAAGGAGTATTTTGCTTTGGTAATTGTAAATTTGTCATCATGTAATTTCAATGAATGCTTTTGAGTTGCTAATTTAAAATTTCAGGAGTTTTCCTGATGTTCTATATTTCCTTTGCTAATGGTTCTAGTGCTGATAAAAATGAGGAGGACAAAAAAGGGGCAACCATGCCTTGTTCCTTTTGGTGTGTTGCCTTGTGTTAGAAGTTGTTTATTATTATTTTGGCTTTCTGTTCTTTTGTAAATGCTGCACATCCATTTGTTAAAATGAATGCCCTAATCCAGGACTAGCTTTTTCCAGGTGTAGTGAATTGATATCACATACACAGAACACACATACACACAGAACACACACACACACACACACAGAGTATATACCCGTGATGGCAAACCTATGGCACGAGTGCCAGAAGTGGCACGCAGAACCATTTTTCCGGGCACGAGAGCTGTCCCCCAACTCACTTGCAGCTGTGCATGCACGTGTGCCCCAGCTGGTGTTTGGGCCTCTGGTGCGCATGTGTGCAATTCAAGGGCCCCAGCTGGTCTTCGGAGCTTTCACATGCATGCAAGAGTACTGGTGTGCAGCATGTGTAGATGGTGTTCATGTGTGTGCATTGTGTGTGGAAACCATGTGCATGTGCAGATTGTGCCATTGCGTGCACAGCGCATGGTGCGCACGTGTGAAAATTGTGCACATGTGCAGATGATGTGGTTGCGCACACAGCGCATGGGGAGGAGCTGCACATTAGCACGGATGGTACACGTGTGCGCAAAGAGCGCAAAGCACAAACCTGTTTGGTACTTGGTGAGTAAAAGGTTCGCCACCACTGGTATATACATACACTTGTATACATATTATTAGTTACAAAAATTAGCTCTCAGCAATTCATTTGACACTGGCTCTAATTCATTATATAATTTGTTGTCACTTGTTTTAACAAACAATAATAGAATTGATTCTTGAAAAGAATATTGTCAAGCATAAAAGACTGTCAACACAGACTCGCCAACACACAGCTGAGATGGCACAGTGGTTAGGGTGCAGTACTGCAGCTACTTCAGTTGACTGCTAGTTCAGCAGATCAGCAGATCAAATCTCACCGGCTCAAGGTTGACTCAGCCTTCCATCCTTTCGAGGTGGGTAAAATGAGGACCCAGATTGTTGGGGGCAATATGCTATTTAGTATACTGTCTTTGGTGAATAATAAAATAAAATAA